AATTCTCTGAAGTTTGAGAACATAGGCCCCTAAAGTAATAGTCCTTACAATAACATTTGATTACAATGAAACCTTTGAATACCTGGTAGAGTTGTTAGTCTGTTTATTGGTGCGCTTGTTTTCTTAACTGCTTTAGTGGGGAGAAAGAAAATAACTTTTGAGTTTTAGGGTCTTGGAATATTTTCTTAGGTGGGGGGATATTTTAGCTTAAATAATATAACACCTCTCTAGCAGTTTTAATACTGCTAAAGATTTAAGCTATTATAGATTCACTGAGGATTATTAATTTCGTTATATGGCAAATATGTATAACTTCATTACTACATTGCAAATAAAATTTTAGCCTTTCTTTTCTTCGGAATTGGCTTCATAGTTTTAATTTGTCTGGCCATTATGTTATTAAGGCTGTTATTCACCTTAAGTAGCCTTAAGAACATTACAAATGGTCCTTTGGATGAAACAAAGCTATTAATTTTATAGCTTCATAGGAAGCAATCACAGCACCTGGGGTTGACTGTTAGATTTGAAAATGATCCAACAGTGACATAACAAATAAGAAGAAACTGTTTTTAAAATTGTATTACATTTATCTACTACCCTTCCCCCAACAAACAAATAATTATTTTACTTTGAATAAGAAAAGAGAAAGGAAACTGACAGTTTTTATTACCTAACATTTATCAGGTGTTATTTAATCTGTACAGTCTTACTTTATAACCAAGGAAGCTGAGTCAGAGGGATTTCAGTCTCTTACTCAAGGTCACACAGCCAATTAATGCTCTTAAGTAAATCTGTTATCTTTTCTCTTTCCATAACAAGAATTCCAGTTAGTTAAAAATGTAAAGTTTATTTAAAATTTTGAATAATTATAAAAGTAACTTTGGTAAAATGTAAAAAGTACAAGCGCTCTGATAAAACGTAACTCTCCATTTTTCTCATTTTATTCTTGTGAAATACAATCCTTCTTATGTCCATCAGAGAACTAAAGCATTGAACATTTTGAACTTCCTTCAGATATTAGCCAGCTGGCGTGTTTTCCTAGCAAAACATTTTCTGATTTGACCACAGACCCTCTCAATCGGTTGTTACTGGTTTGAATAACATTACGCTGTCATGGTGGGCACCTGATCATGAAAGCTGATATTTGGAGTGCATTTTTATTTGTATTTAAAATGTTTTTATAATCCCAGTATAAACACTGTTAATCTAGTCAAAACCTTTTCTCACAAGATCAAGAGCTTGTATGGGCCGCTGGGACTGGGTCTTCCCGGGCTCTGCAGCTGGCGTCGACTTCTCCGCGCTTTTTGGTGGCCTCGCACGCCAGCGCCCTCCGGCTCCCGCCCGGCCCTCTCCCAGTCAGCCCGGCGGCAGGGCCATGGCGTGGCGGCGGCGGCCCGAGGCCCGCAGCGGGGCCCGCGGCGCGCTGGCGCTGCTAGCGCTGGCCCTGTGCGCGCCCGGGACCCGGGGACCGGGGACCGGGGCCCGGGGCCGGGCGTTCCAGTGGTACTCGGCCATGGTGAGCACCGAGTACGTGGACCCGTAGGCCAACCAGAGCGTGCGGAGCGCCTCGGAGAGCGGCCGCTTTGGCGAGAGTTCGCCCAAGGAGGGCGCGCGGGGCCTGGTGGGCGTCCCGCACGCCGAGGACTGTGACCCCGAGGGTTGCGCGTCCTGCACGCGCTTCCTCGTGCCCCGCGGCCGCGGGGGCGGCACCTTCAAGGACAAGGTGTTGGCGGCAGCGTGGTGGAACGCCTCGGCCGTGGTCCCGTACAACGAGGAGCGCCACGGGAACCTCACCGCGCCCTTGTCCCACGCGGGAACCGGAAATATAGTAGTCATTATTGTTAGCGACCCCAAAGGAAGAGAAATTGTGGATCTGGTGCAGAAAGACATTCCGGTCACAATGACCATAGGGCTCGGCACACGGCACGTACAGGAGTTCATCAGCAGTCAGTCAGTGGTGTTTGTGGCCATCGCCTTCATCACCATAATGATTATCTCATTAGCCTGGCTAATATTTTACTATATACAGCACTTCCTATACACTGGCTCACAGTTTGGAAGTCAGAGCCATAGAAAGAAACAAAGAAACTTATTGGGCAGCTTCCTCTTCATACTGTAAAGCATGGAGAAAAGGGAATTGATGTTGATGCTGAAAGTTGTGCAGTGTGTATTGAAAATTTTAAAGGAAAGGATGTTATCAGAATCCTGCCATGCAAGCATATTTTTTATAGAATATGCATTGACCCATGGCTTTTGGATCACCGAATGTGTCCAATGTGTAAACTTGATGTCATCAAAGCCCTGGGATATTGGGGAGAGCTTGAGGACATGCAGGAGACGCCCGCCCCAGAATCTCCCCCAGGGGCGTTTCGACTGCAGATCTGAGTCTTACTTTACCAGATGGTGACAGAAGTGACGCGGGCAGCTCAGCACTGCCCACCACCAGCGACTCCGTGCTGCCTTGCGAGGCCAGTTTTAAAGAGGATGATGGTGAAAACACGGCCTTGCTAGAGACAAGCAGGAGTGACCCTCAGTGTGAAGGACCTTTCTCCTGGTGTATAACCTGCTGGCAGTTTCATGGACAGAGCTTGGGCTTGAATTAAAGGACATTTAATTTTTTTTACTTTAGCACATAGTTTGTATATGTGAAAATAATGTACATTCTTTTACCTTTCAGGTTCTGATTTGATATACAAAGGGCTAAGATACTTTATTCTTAAAAATAATTTTTGATTAGTCTTCATATATTTATCTATTAAAATGTATCATAAGATTAATTCTAATCAAGGATGGTTCTAGACTAAGCACATTGAATTCAGACTAGTTCAAATGGAGTTGTGTGATTATATTCAGTAATTGATCACATGAGTTTCCCTGGAGGAAAGACTTTTTTAGAACATTAAACTTGTAAATGTGATGAGAGAAATCTATCGCTTCCTTGCACCTCTGTACTATAGAGAGATTTCCAGACCTTAGAGCACTTTCATTGTTGTTTTTTATTTGGAGTTATGGGAAAAGCACTGGTTGACTTTAGGATTTGCATTTCTCCCTTTCATTACCTAATTTCCTATAACAACCTTGATGGGGAGGGAAGTTTTGTCCATTTTTTTCTGTACAAATAAAAAAAGCTACGATTCCGTATTGTGCACGAGCATGAAGTTCTTCATTGCTTGTTAAAGAAATGGAGTAGACAGACTCTGATGTACTCTGATATGGCGTTTTTGGGGGTAAATGATGAATATACTGATTCCAACTGCAGTTTAATCTTTACAGTTATAAAGGGTGGTAGATGGGGACTTTTCATTGCTGTTGTAACACAATAAACAAGTAACCAGTTTTCTTGAAAAAAATAAAAAAGCTTGTATAGTTTTACTTTAGTTATAGTCATTAGGATGAGATTTGTACATTTATATTAGGCAAAATCTTAATTTATTTTTAACATGAAGGATGTTATACCAAAATAGTTTCTAGGAATTTTTGAGATAAAACAATTTAGTTTTGAAACTCTAAATAACTGGATTTATTTAACTTAAATACCACTTGGAAATTTTATGGTATGTAACCTTTGTGGGATTGGGAAGTAAAGTATACAATTTTGATGCAATGCTGAGATATTACAAATCTGTCTTACATTTGGGTTATGGGTCCAGTGTTTGAGAGTTACTCATTCTTTTGGTTGTTCATTGAACTAATTTCATGAAATATAATTAATTTTCGTAATTTTTATATAACAGGTCTCTACTCCAAGGACAATAAAGATAATTTCCTTAGTTGCCTCCATATGGTTGAGTAAAGAGTTAATTATTTTAAGGCAGTTTGAGCACCTTGTCTTAAATTTGGATAGTAGTTAGAAAATATCTTTATAAAAGATATAGAGATTTGAAAGAGTCAGATATGTAGAAAATAATATATTATTTGGCTGTGTTTGATTTCTTTCTGTTATTCTTCATTGGCTAAAGATGATGTTATAATTTAGTTCCAATGACTAGTACTATTTAAATACACACCCATTATTTTAAATGCTATTAATGGAAGATATTGCTGTTAGCAGAAACTACTAGCATATTAACTATGGAAGAGGGCAACAAAATCTGCATCTCAAAACCATGTATGGATACTTAAAATTATTTGTTACTCATGCTGCAGAAAGGAGTAGTTAGAATTTTTTTACTGAATTAGGTCTATCATGTTTTGGAGGGCACCATTATTAATATCTGAGATATTAAGTGGGACGGAATGCAATCAATTAAAAATCTTCAACATGTCCACTGGGATAATTTATCATGTAGATATTGAAGAAGAGGAAAAAACGAACAATTTTGTCTGATTAGTAACATCTGACAACTTATAGAAAGAAACCTGACTATGGCTTCTTAGCACTTGTTTGTTATAATTTAGTGCGATGATGAGCAGGGAAGATTCAAAATTCTTTTCTGACCCCAAATTTTAGCACCGATATTTTGCTTCTGAAATAGTAATGAAATAAAACATAATTTTTAAAAATTTAATTTTTATGTTCATGCATTAAGACTAACACTTGGAATAATGTGATATGTAGGAATTCAGTATGACATGACAGTTTTAAATAAGAGATTAAAAATACATTAGCAAAAAGAATTAAAAGGAACTAAGTATTAACAGAATCAAATGTTTCCCCAGTCAATAGCACTTAAGTTCAGTTCACTGCTCACCCATCTCCCCACTTTGGGTAGAAGAAATTTAGTGAAGTTCAGGAAATAAGATGACTATATTTGCTAAATTTGTCATGTGCAAACTTATTATAGTTGTTCATATTTTTAAAAATCATCAAAATCTTTTTCTTTTATATCTGGTTTTAAAATTATGCCATAGCTCAACTTTGATGTTCTTTTAAAATCCACAGGAATTCAATGTAGACTTTTCTATGACAAAATTCAGTTTGTACTTTCTATCTTAATTGTAAGTTAATGAATATCTAGCATCCAACTTTATCATTTTATTTTTGGCATTATCTCTTTCAGTACAGTGGAGAATTTACAGTCTCTCTCAGCGATGTCTTATTGACCTGGAAATACTTACTACATGAGAAATTGGACTTACCAGTTGAAAATATGAAAGTGATTGACCATTATGAGAACATTAGGAAGATTTATGATGATTTCTTAAAGAATAGTAACATGTTAGATATGATCGATGTTTATAAAAAATGTAATGTTTTGACTTCAAATTATGAAAATTATGCCAACATATCTCCTGTAAGTATTTTTTAAATAATTTTATCTTAATCAAATTAAAATTTGGCTAGATTTATTTTTACTTTAAATGATGGATCAGCATTTATAATAACTTGATAATGCTTTTGCTCTTTGGATCATGTTAAGAATGGAAAATTTAGCTACTTGAAAGCTAGTCATTACTGGAGAGAAATATTTTGGTGGTAAATGTTGTTGAATTTGTGTTATTATTTGGTTGAAATATAAGGACAGCTACTTATTAGATCAAAACATTTTTAATAAATCAGTATCAAGTACGTGATTTCTTTTTGAATTATGTCAGGGATTGATTTTGTATTTTCTTGGTTTAATGTGCATCTGTTCATTTGGCATATATTGTATAAATGATTGCTATGACTCTTTCTATGGATTAGTAATAGTTTTTACTAAGGTAGAGTATCATTTCATGAGGATAGTATGATGCAATATACATGAGGTAATACACTATTCCTTTTTTTTGCAGACACATTCATTGCCTTATTTTTTTATAGAGTATAAATTTTAAAGTTAATGGAGTAGCATCCCTTGCAGTTTGGTTTTGTCTACATTATAGTTGATAAACTGTTTTAGAATATATTTGAATATATCTAGTTTGTTTTAAAGTATTGAAAATATATTTCTTTATCTTAACATATACCAAGTGCCACTAAAGTAGTAATTAAACAGTGGTAATAAAAGAATAATTGCAGCCATAACTAGAAGAAAATGTTTACTGGATTTTCTCAGATATTAAAATAGTTTATAAATATTACTATCTGATACTTGGGAATAATGTTTTGTCTGCTTAGAATAGAAACCACAATAACAGTTGTTTAAGACAATGGAAGTTTGTTTCATTCTTTTATAAAAGATGTCAAAAAGTTAGCATCTAGGACTGATATGATAGGTTCATGGTTATCAGATAATACCTAGGATTTTACTGTCAGTCTGCTCTCCTATCTTAGTTCTTGACTTCTACCCTCAAGATCATTTGTGGTCCAAGATAGTTGTTGGAGCTCCAGACATTGTATCAGCATTTCATGCAGCAGGAAATAGTAAGGGAGCACCACACTCTCTTTTCCTTTGAAAGAGATGTAGCTCTTTTGCTTCCATCTCATTAACCAAAGCTTAGTCATATGGCCAGACCAACATGCCAGCAAGGATGGAGAATGTAGTCTTTATTCTGGGTAGTAATATGCCAGAAGATAAAAGAAAGCTCTGATACTAAGGAAGAAGGGGAGAATGGATACTGGCAGGCAGTTTGTTGTCTTTGCCTCATGGGGCTATCATGGAAACCTTTGCCTTTTTGTAACTTTCTCAAAATACATGCACACACGTGTACATGCATACCCACACGTACTCATCCACACCATGATGAGGATACTTGTGAGTGAAGACAGTTTTTTTTATTCCTCTCTAGTTATGTTTTATTTGCTTACCTGTAGAGATGATTTTTAACTACTTTTCACAAAGTTAATTTAGAGAAGTTCATCAAACACAAGTATTAGATTGTAGGAACAACAAACATGAGTTTCTGATAAGCCAGTGAGAGTATAATCTGCCTGAGGTCTTTGTTTTCATTTTATCCTTTGCCTATAAGTCCTCTAATAAGTTTCTTCATTTAAGTGAATCAGCTTATAGTGTGAGATATATAAGGTTTTACATTTGAGGAAGTTCTGTCTCCAAATAGCAATATGTCTCCTTTGAAGAACATCAGGAATGAAGTGGGAACTGCTGAGATGGTAATATATGAAGCAGAAAATTTTCTGCATTTAAATCTTAGAAGGCTAACAGCTTGATCTCTGGTACTTATGTTACTCAAAGGAAATTTGCAGCGAGGAAAAAGTGAGCAGGAAAATATCCCTAGATCGACATTTCAAAAATATGCTAAATGTAACCCTAATTTATGCTAAAAGTATCTTTAAAGATACATATCAGAAAGTTCTAAATATTTCTGAGCTTCAGGGTCCTGAAATATCATGACCCTAATAAGCTTTTTTGTTTTTGATTTATTGTAGCCTAAATAAGGCAAGAATTAAGAGGAATTAAGATAAAGGTAAGACAGGGAAGTTCTGGGAACATAATTTGAATGATAGCCCTTTCTCCTTTGTTTCCTACTTTTATAATTCCTCTCCCGAGGAACATGGATGCAGGGCCCATGGGCATCTGGGAGCATAGAAGTCCTTGGATGCTAACTGGACTCTAAGTAGGGAGAATTGTTACAGAGATTGCTCTCATGAACTGAGTAATTATCTGGAGGACAAAATCAGAGACCTGGGCTGAGGAGCAGAAGTGGTAGGTCCTGAGAAGAGCTAAGCAGCCCTCAGAAATCTGAGGAAGGTCAATAAATGCCTTCTATGAGCGTGGCAGGGTTCTTTTACTCTCAAGAAGCAGCAGAGTAGCTGAGTGGATGGTCTTACTGTTGGTGAGGCTTGAGAGACCACAAGAAGACTGTTTTTCAGCCTAAGCAGGTGACTGGCAGCTTGCTTATTTCCCCACTGCTCAATTTCTTGCTTATTTCTCCACTGCTCAATAAGGAGTAGAGACCATTTCAACTTCCATTACTCATAGAACTGTCATCACTTAATGGACCTCAACAGTCAGCTGGGCCCCAAAGAGCCAGTGAAGAGAAGCAACGGTCACCTAAGGGGTCTCAGTGGCCAGAAAGATGAATCAGCTAAGAACACACATGCCTAACAAAATAGAGCTGCTCGAAGGGAATGATAGCAAATTGAATCCAGCGAAATAATAAGTACTCAAGGAACTTCAAGTATATACCTAAACATAAGACTTTCTAGACATTAAAAAAAAAAAGAAGAAAAGTTTTCCCAATGTAACAGATGAATTCAGACTCAAATTAGTATCCTGAAAGTCAAGTACAATAAGTAAAGCACAGAGTAAAACACATAAAGAAACAAAGAGGGAAAGTTAAGAAACTTGGAGGTTAGATCTAGAGGATTAAGAAACTTAGAGGTTAGATCTATAGGATTTAACATATAAATGTTAGGAGTTCTAGAAGGAGAAAAAAGAACAGATGCAAAAGAGGCCATGATAAAATAAATCATATATTTGTTACAACTACATTTGTTATAATAAATATTTTCCTGAGTCTCCTAAGGAGTGTTTATGAAGTTCCAGGCTGAATTGATGAGAAATGACACATACCTAGACATATCCTGGTAAAATTCCTGAACTCTTAATTTCCTGGCAGAAAGAACAAGTTATTTAAAAAGAACAAAAAATTAAATAGCATGTCCTGAAAGTGGCCTAAGAATTCCATCCTCAATCAAGATATCGTTTATCAGCCAAGTTAAGGAAGGATTTGTGAGGATATGCAAAAATTTAAAGAATGTCATCATCATACCTCGTGTGAAGCATTTACCTTTCCAAAGACTAATAATTAAACAGATGAACTGGAGCAGCGGTCTATCTAGGGAAAGATGGTAGTGAGCACTAAAACTTGGAGTGTGTATGTGCAGTTAAAATGATAAGGATGGACTGGGAATATGTGAGCTAAAATGGAAGACTTACCCTGAGAGAGATTCTAATACTAGTTTAGAATTAAAACTGCTAAACTTCGTAGTTTGTTAGGGGTAAGTAGCAGGCATTATCACTTTTAAAAAATAATAGAGAAATATGAGTCTGATTTGAGTACAGGGAGAGTAAAGTCAACTATTAATGGAATGGAAAAAATACAGTACATCTTCCAAATAAGAGGATAAAAATACAGTGAGTAGTAACCTGTCAAATCAGTAAAGATACAAATCAGTAAAATTAATAGTGTACCACAGCAAATATATTGTGATTTTTATCTTGCCTAAGAAAGCTTTATGCTATATATATATATTTTTTTTTTCTTTTTTTTGCGGTACGCGGGCCTCTCACTCTTGAGGCCTCTCCTGTTGCGGAGCACAGGCTCCGGACGTTCAGGCTCAGCAGCCATGGCTCACCGGCCCAGCCACTCCGTGGCATGTGGGACCTTCCCAGACCGGGGCCTGAACCCGTGTCCCCTGCATCGGCAGGCGGACTCTCAACTACTGCGCCACCAGGGAAGCCCTATGCTATATTTTCTAGAGTCCTTGTCTAACTGAGGTCTAGGAACTGCTTTACACTAAAAATTATTTAGGACTAGAAGGAGATTTTGTTTATGTGGATTATATCTATTGATATTTTCCATATTAAAAATTAAAGAGAAATGTTTAAAATGTTTATCAGTTATTAAAATATTGATATTGAACCTATTACATTTTAATATGAATAACATTATGTTATGAAGAATAACTTTATTTTCCAAAAATAAAAAAATTGTGAGAATAGTGACATTGTTTTACATTTTTATGAGTATCTTTAATATCATGTGTGATAGAAAATACCTGGATTCACATGTCTGCTTCTATTTGATAAGTTAGTTTGATTGAAGTATATCAAGAAAATTCAAATTCACATTGATACATAGTTGGAAAAGGAGGACTTCCCATATCCCCTGAATGGGTCTTAAGGACCTCAGAAGTACTTGGATCATACTTTGATACCCACTGAACTGATCTAGAATAATGTACTTTGCATGTAATTAAATATGAAAGTGTTTTTTAACTAGAAGGTAATATTCTCCCATTTCTAAAAATAATATTGTGTTTATGGAAAAATAAATCTTTGCTTTCAGCATCTCTTCTGAAAACATAAGAACCACAAGTGTGAGTACTACCATTATTCAAAATTTGTTAAATAGTAAATTCTTATTTTGGTGATCTTGAATTTTGAGATTGAAAAATTGTATATGTTATAAACAACAAAATCCTAGGCTTTCTAGTTTTTTTTTATCACTTGATTAACTCTTTATGAGTACCAGCTTATCATATCAGTAGAATTGTGGCAAATGCTATTTCTTTTCAAGGAGTATATATTGGTGAGTTACTTTAGTTATAATTTTGCAGTATCTCACTGGGCTTTGTTAATTCAGTTTGTCCCTTTCCTTCAGGTTTACTTATCAGGAATTATGTGTGTGTTTGTGTTTGTACATACCTGTATAATCTTCAATCCCTTAGAATAAATGAAATAATATGGAGATATTGAGTAGTATGTCAGGCTGAAAGCAAATATCTCTTTATAAATTATTTTTTCGTGGAAACTCTTATTTTGTTAGAAATATTGTGGCTTAGGAAAATAGATTTACTTATGTATATTACAAAATGAAGCATTTATTGTGGGCATTAGCTAAGACTTTCTTCCGTACAAATAAAAGGCTCAGATGAAATTTCCAAGGTCATCTTTTAACTCTGAACTTGTAAAACTCTTTGAGTACAAGTGCCATTGGAAACAGATTGTTAGGAAATTTAATTGCGTGTATATTATGGACTGCCAACAAAAGTCAGGTAATGTGCTGTACACTGGAACATCAGAGACACTAAGTAGAGCTAGGTGTGAAATATTTTTTACAGTTGGCGTAGCATTTTGTTAGTAACATCTTGTATTTCTTACAGAGTCAACTACGGGATTTTCTGTCTGGCAGACAGTATGCAGTAGATAATGAAACTGATTTTTCTGAACCAATGTCACCAATTAGTAAACGCAACCGGGATAATGAAAAGGTATGGCTAAATTGTGATTAAATAAAAGCAGGATATGATCCTCTTAAAATCACTGTGAATTTGTACGTTACAGTTACTATTTTTTTTAAATTTTTAAAAAGTTTTTAATTTGCTAAAATAAAAAAAAATTTGTGAAGAGTAGTACATTGGAGACTGCCAAGAGCATGGTAATAATCAGTTTATTCATGGTTTTGGGCCATGGTAACAGGCACTGTGCAAAAATAGGTATCACTAAGTATTGGAAAAGTTGGTACAGGTTGCCAGAGTTCTTTGAATTTTTACACGTGGTATACTTCACAGTTAGTATTTTATTTTATTTTATTTTATTTCATTTAGTAATATACTTACTTATTTATTTATTTATTTTTGGCTGCGTTGGGTCTTTGTTGCTGTGCGCACTGGCTTTCTCTAGTTGTGGCGAGCGGGGGCTTCTCTTGCTTGCGGTGCGTGTGCTTCTCATTGTGGTGGTTTCTCTTGTTGCAGAGCATGGGCTCTTGGCACACAGGCTGCAGGAGTTGTGGCACGCAGGTTCAGTAGTTGTGGGACGTGGGCTCTAGAGCTCAGGCTCAGTAGTTGGGGCGCGTGGGCTTAGTTGCTGCGCAGCATGTGGGATCTTCCCAGACCAGGGCTCGAACCCATGTCCCCTGCATTGGCAGGCAGATTCTTAACCTCTGTGCCACCAGGGAGGTCCCACAGTTAGCATTTTAAATGGTTGATTCTTAGGAGAATATGTTCTGTTCTCCACTCTTTAAAAAATCTGTTTCTACTCTTTGCAGTAGAATAGCTGATGCATCATGAGTTCTGATAACAGGATTTGCTGTCCAAACAAACCACAGAAAAGTAGTACAGGTTTGGTTTAATATAAGTTACCTTCAGCTGAACACTATTCTAGGTACCTAATTACATGTAGTAATTCCTCACTAACGATGGGAGTTGTGTTTATGAAAGTTTCTTAGTAAAATTACCATTGACAAGATGAAAGGTTAAGAGTACTGGAAAGAACATATCTAAAAATATGTTATGTGAGATTGATTCAAGATGGCGGACCAGAAGGACATGCTCTCACTCCCTCTTGCGAGAACACTGGAATCACAACTAACTGCTGAACAGTCATCGACAGGAAGACACTGGAACTCACCAAAACAGATACCCCACATCCAAAGACAAAGGAGAAGCCACAAGGAGATGGTAGGAGGGGTGCAATCACAATAAAATCAAATCCCATACCTGCTGGGTGGGTGACCCACAAACTGGAGAACACTTATACCACAGAAGTCCACCCACTGGAGTGAAGGTTGTGAGCCCCACTTCAGGCTTCAGAACCTGGGGGTCCGGCAAAGGGAGGAGGAATTCCTAGAGAATCAAACTTTGAAGGCTAGCGGGATTCGATTGCACAACTTCGACAGGACTGGGGGAAACGGAGACTCCACTCTTGGAGGGCACACACAAAGTAGTGTTTGCATCGGGACCCAGGGGAAGAAGCAGTGACCCCACAGAGACTGAACCAGACCTACCTGCTAGTGTTGTGGGGTCGCCTGCAAAGAGGCGGGGGGTGGCTCTGTCTCACCGTGAGGACAAGGACACTGGCAGCAGAAGTTCTGGGAAGTACTCCTTGGCGTGAGCCCTCCCAGAGTCCGCCATTAGCCTCACCAAAGAGCCCGGGTAGGCTCCAGTGTTGGGTCACCTCAGGCCAAACAACCAACAGGGAGGGGACACAGCCCCACCCAACAGCAGGCAAGTGGATTAAAGTTTTATTGAGCTCTGCCCACCAGAGCAACAGTCAGCACTACCCACCACCAGTCCCTCCCATCAGGAAACTTGCACAAGCCTCTTAGACAGCCTCATCCACCAGAGGGCAACAGCAGAAGCAAGAAGAACTACAATCCTGCAGCCTGTGGAACACAAAACACATTCATAGAAAGACAGACAAGATGAAAAGGCAGAGGGCTATCTACCAGATGAAGGAACAAGATAAAACCCCAGAAAAACAACTAAACAAAGTAGAGATAGGCAACCTTCCAGAAAAAGAATTCAGAATAATGATAGTGAAGATTATTCAGGAACGCAGAAAAAGAATGGAGGCAAAGATCGAGAAGATGCAAGAAATGTTTAATAAAAACCTAGAAGAATTGAAGAACAAACAGAGATGAACAATACAATAATTGAAATGAAAAATACACTAGAAGGAATCAATAGCAGAATAACTGAGGCAAGAACGGATAAGTGACCTGGTAGACAGAATGTTGGATGTCACTGCTGCAGAACAGAATAAAGAGAAAAGAATGAAAAGAAATGAAGACAATCTAAGAGACCTCTGGGACACATTAAATGCAACAACATTTGCATTATAGGGGTCCCAGAAGGAGAAGAGAGAGAGAACTGACCCAAGAAAGTATTTGAAGAGATTATAGTTGGAAACTCCCCTAACATGGGAAAGGAAATAGCTACCCAAATCCAGGTAGCACAGAGAGTCCCATACAGGATAAAACCAAGGAGAAACACACCGAGACACATAGTAATCAAATTGGCAAAAAATTAAAGACAAAGAAAAATTATTGAAAGCAGCAAGAGAAAAATGGCAAATAACATACAAGGGAACTCCCATAAGGTTAACAGCTGATTTCTCAGCAGAAACTCTACAAGCCAGAAGGGAGTGGCATGATATACTTAAAGTGATGAAAGGGAAGAACCTACAACCAAGATTACTCTACCCAGCAAGGATCTCATTCAGATT